AACCTGAAGCCCCAATTATACTATACCCATGACGTGCACACGATTTTTAATTTTATTAATTTCAGAAACAAAAACAATCCAAACTCTCGGTTGCACACTGTGGAAACCCCAGTGGAGTGAATTTTAGAACTTTCCTTATTACAAAGTGTTAAACATTTCTTACCTTGATGGCAAATATGCTTTATTAAATTGTTTTATTGCATTCCTCATATGTTTTCCAAATGACTTCTGACCCCAGTTTAAAAAGTATTCATATTAAAATTACTGTTCTGTTGATACTGTTTCCAAGCTAATTTTGTTACATTCTTTTTTATGCTACATCAGAAGTGGAAAGCATAAATTATTGTACTCAGTACAGTTGCATACATTTATTGCTATGGAAATACTCGCTGACAATACTGTTTTTATGTACAGGTTTTAAAGTAGAAACATATAATATTTTTCAAATTCCTGCCAGGAAGAAGACAACTGTGTCATATAAGCATCCATTGATACATATTTATTTTCCTGAATGAAAATGCATTTCAAATTTAATTTAATTAATTTTCAGTATTTATGTCTACAGGTAGTTGAAGTGATATTAAACTCTGTTTTTTTTAAGCATGCAGCTTTATCTTTTACACCTTGCCTATGTTCTAGTTTAAGCTGGTGCTGTTTCAGTGCATCTCCTTTTACTCTCAGAATCCTATGGAGCCACCCTTGCTTGAATGGACTCGAGTTGTAGCTCTAAATCAATAGAAACACACAGCCATGTAGGCTAGAATAGAAAGACATCCCCTGCTCCTCCCTCCTCCCTCCTCCTCCCCCTTCCCTTCTCCAAGCTAACAGACTGGCTTGAGACTGCATTTTCTGCTGCTTCCTGTGAAAACCATAGGCTCAGGGAAGCAGCACCAACAGAGCAGGATTCAAAATTGCTTCAAGTGCTGAGGTAATAATTTTAATAGACAATTTACTGGGGGATATTTATTTTTAAATGCTCAATGAGTTAAGCATAAAACACACTGAGGGTTTATTACTACTTGAACGTAAATGTGAGTCAAAAACCTTTTTTTTTTGGTAGTATAGGGGTAGGATAAAACTTCTCTTTTTTTTGCTGCCTATGTTCTGTTGGGAATATTTACTCTTAATATATTACTGGATCTTGAGCACCGTACCCATATGGAAAAAAAATATATTTGAAATATATTTTAAAAATATTCTTCCCAAATATATTGACATACAGTATATTTGAAATGCTACAATTTTGGCCACATTCAATATATTTAAATAAATAAATATATATATATATATATACATATATATATATATATATATATATAGTATATATATATATATATATATATATATATATATATATATATATATATATATATATATATATATATATATATATATATATATACTGTATGTTGAAATGTGTTTTTATTGCAAAGTAAATGAAAGATATTTTTAAAAATATATTCAAATATACTGTATGTCTTTAAAAATACAAATCTACATTTTTGGAATGCATTTACAAATATATGTAAAAATATATGTTAAAATGACTTTTTTATATATTAACCGCTTCCATACCGGGCACTCATACCCCCTTCCTGCCCAGGCCATTTTTCAGGCTTCAGCGCTCTCACACTTTGAATGACAATTGCGCGGTCATACAATACTGTACCCAAACTAAAATTTTATCATTTTCTTCACACAACTAGAGCTTTCTTTTGGTGGTATTTAATCAACACTGGGGTATTTATTTTTTGCTAAAGTAACAAAAAAAGACCGAAAATGATGAAAAAAAACCCACATTTTTCTTTTTTTCTGTTATAAAAGTTTGCAAATAAATAATTATTCTTCATAAATTTAGGCCAAGATGTATTCTGCTACATGTCTTTGGTGAAAATAACCCAAATTAGGATGTATTAATTAGTCTGTAGGAAAGTTATATCATACAAACTATGGTATATATCTGAAAATTGATCAATCCTGAAGTACTGACAGCCAATCTAATTTCTTGAGGTCCAAGAATGTCAGAACAGTACAGATATCCCCCAAATGACCCTTTTTGCAAAGTAGACAGTCTGACGTATTTCATAAGAGGCATGGCAAGTTTATTTTTACATACTGTCACCAGTGCAGTACAGCGTCATCATATAACTGGCATGACGGGTTTTTTTTTTTATTAGTTTTAATTTTTTATTACATTTTTTCTCTTTTTTTAAGTTTTTTTTTTCATATTTGACTATGACCAAAGTAGTATAATGTTACCATAGTAACATTGTACTACTTTGGGGAAGTGATCAGTGTTTTTTTTTTACACAATTTGATTATAGCAAAGAATTACTTTGCTATAAGCAAGCATTTACCTGAATGACATCGATTCATTAGGGTTTTTTTTTTTTTTTGTGCTTAGCTGTGATTTGACCATGGCTAATCACATGACACAGCTGGGCTGTGATTGGCCCAGCTTGTGCATGTGATCGCTGTGACCATTCACAGCTAGACACACTTGCATGCAATGGATGGCATGAAAGGAAGCCATCCATTGTATACAATGTCATGTGACCTGCTGTGATTGGTCACAGCAGGTCACATGGTACTGGAAATGGGTCCGGAACACAGATCTGTCATTGGCCGTGTCTGAGGTACACGGCCGGTGACAGGTTGCAGATCGGCCCTGCGGGCAGGTGCATTGCGCATGCCTGAAAGGACGCCGTATGGCGTCCACCCGGAGGGAAGAGCTGCTCGCATGGCTGTCATCTGGCTATAGGCCGGGCTGCAACTGGTTAAACAAAATCTGAAGAATATATATATTTTCAAATATATTCTTCAGATTTTTTTTAACATATAAAAAGGTAATTTTACATATACTTTTAAATATATTTGTAAATGCGTACCAAAAATGTTGTATTTTTAAAGACATACAGTATATTTGAAATGTATTTTTAAAAATATTTAGCATTTATTTTGTAATAAAAACGCATTTCAACATACAGTGTGTATATATGTATATATATATATATATATATATATATATATATATACACATGTATATACACATGTATATATGTATATATAAATATATATATATATATATTCAAATATATTTTGAAATATATTGAATATGGCCAAAATTGTAGCATTTCAAATATATGTCAATATAATTGGGAAGAATATTTTTAAAATATATTTCATGTGGGTACATTCCTTGAAAGCAACAGCGAGACATGTTGGCACAACAATGGCCTACAGGAAATGAGATTCAAGGGATTTAATGTCTTCTTGTTCTTTGGGAGCTATCATGAAAGCAGACCTTACTTAACAAACATCATATCTAGACTGGAGGGAGCCTGATTGTTCCTTCTGAACCAGTCAGTATTCCTTTTCTTTAAGTGTTTTATTCAAAATATCAGGAAGCGTTATTCCTAAAAGTCAAGTTGAATGTAACATCTGAAAAATGATTTATTTGATACATTCACTCAGAAACAGAAAGATGTTTTTTGGATCTTTAGTAGGATCTCATTCATCATGCATCCCTGCTGTGGATGTGTTGATAACAGTTTGACATTAGAAGTATACCAAGGTTGGGCAGGATGATTAGTGGAACAGGGCAGAAGGTCATAAACAGATTGATTAGATGGTATTCAGCACCAAATTGCATGTGCTCATCTCATTAACCCCTCCATATTACATTTTTACATTTACTCCCAGTATGTACTTATAATTCACATACAGTATTCCAACATACACAATGGGGTGGATTTACTAAAGGCAAATAGACTGCACACGTCGCAAGGGCAGTTACACTCTCCAAGTGCAGTTGCACGTGTTTTCCCCAGAGCTTGGTAAATGTGGTTAAGTTCTAAGAAGTTTTATCGTCCAATCACGTGCAAGGTGTCAGGGTATTTTTACATAAAAGTCCATCTGCCCTTGGTCTATCCATTAACCCGTTGCCGCCTGGCCTATAGCTAGATGGCTAGATGGCTCCTTTCCGGAGTGCGCATTGCGCATGCCCGCAGGGCCGGGCTGAGGCGTGATCTGTCACCGGCCGTGTTACCTCGGACATGGCCGATGACAGATCTGTGTACCGCCCCATTGTCCATCTGCCCTTGGTCTATACATTAACCCGTTGTTGCCTGCCTAGATGGCTAGATGGCTCCTTTCCGGTGCGTGCATTGCACATGCCTGCTGGGCCGCGCTGAGGCGCGATCTGTCACCAGCCGTGTACCTCGGACATGGCCGATGACAGATCTGTGTACCACCCAATTGTCAGTACCATGTGACCTGCTGTGACCAATCACAGCAGGTCACATGACAGCAGTTGTATACAATGGATGGCTTCTTTTCATGCCATCCATTGTATACAAGTGTGTCTAGCTGTGAATGGTCACAGCGATCACACGCACAAGCTGGGCCAATCACAGCCCAGCTGTGTCATGTGATTAGCCGTGGCCAAATCACAGCTAATCACATAAAAAAAAAAAAACCCCCCTGAATGAATCGATTTCATTCAGGTAAATGCTTGCTTATAGCAAAGTAATTCTTTGCTATAAGCAAATTGCGTAAAAAAAAAATAAAATAAATAAAAATACGTATCACTTCCCCAAAGTAGTACAATGTTACTATGGTAACATTACACTACCTTATTTTTTGCTCCATAAGACGCACTTTTTTCCCCCCAAAAAAGGGGGGGAAATGTCAGCGCGTCTTATGGAGCGAATATAAAGCGGCCAGTCCGGTATTTCCGCCGCCACCATGTCAGAATACCGGGCCGGCCGCTCAGCTGTTCTCTGAGGCAGGAACTCACCTGTCCCTCGGTCCAGCGCTGTAGTCTTCCCATGCCGGCTTCTTCCCGCCCAAGCATCTGTGACAGCCGGGTGCCAACTGTGCATGCGTGAGAAGCGCTGCGCTTTGTGAATGGTTTGGTGTCTTCTGGGAAGAATGACAGGTCCCAAAAGACGCCGAGCCATTCACAAAGCGCAGCGCTTCTCGCGCATACACAGTGGGCAGCCAGCTGTCAAAGTCGGGTGCCCACAGTACGGGAAGAACTCCGTGGAAGTGGAAGCGGGTACCTATCAAATTCAGGTACCTGCTCCCCCTCCCTCCCTAAAGGACCGCAGTGTCTGGTCATGCCCTGTACTGTCTGCCGTCTCTGGTCATCCCCTGTACTTTCCGCAGTCTCTGGTCATCCCCTGTACTGTGTCCACAGTCTCTGGTCATCTCCTGTACTGTCCGCAGTCTCTGGTCATCTCCTGTACTGTGTCTGCAGTCTCTGGTCATCTCCTGTAGTAGGTCCGCAGTCTCTGGTCATCTCCTGTAGTATGTCCACAGTCTTTGGTCATCTCCTGTACTGTGTCCGCAGTCTCTGGTTATCTCCTGCACTGTGTCTGCAGTCTCTGGTCATCTCCTGTACTATGTCCGCAGTCTCTGGTCATCTCCTGTACTATGTCCACAGTCTCTGGTCCTTCTCCTGTACTGTGCCTGCAGTCTTTGGTCATCTCTTCTACTGTCTGCAGTCTCTGATCATCTCCTGTACTGTGTCTGCAGTCTCTGGTCACTTCCTGTATTATGTCTGCAGTCCATTGGTTCAAAAAATTTTTTTCCTTGTTTTTCTCCTCTAAAACCTAGGCGCGTCTTAGGGTCAGGTGCGTCTTATGGAGCGAAAAATACGGTGCTTTGGTCATAGTGAAATATGAAAAAAAAAATCTTAAAAAAAGAGAAAAAAATTGAATAGAGATTTCTGGGCTGTCTGTCACGCACTGCTCTTTTAAGGTCTATCCATAGATTTTCAATTATGTTGAGGTCAGAAGATTGTGAAGGCCATGGCAAAACCTTCAGTTTACGCCTCTTGATGTAATCCCCCGTGGATTTCGAGGTGTGTTTAGGATCATTATCCATTTGTAGAAGCCATCCTCTCTTTAACTTCAGCTTTTTCACAGATGGCATCAAGTTACCATCCAAAATGTGCTGAAAGTTTATTGAATCCATTTTTCCTTCTACTCGTGAGATGTTCCCTGTGCCACTGGCTGCAACACAACCCCAAAGCATGATTGATCCAACCCCATGCTTAACAGTTGGACAGAGGTTCTTTTCATTAAATTCTGTGCCCCTTCTTTTCCAAACGTACCTTTGCTCATTCCGGCCAAAAAGTTCAATTTTAACCTCATCGGTCCACAGAACTTGTTTCCAAAATGCATCAGGCTTGTCTATATGTTCATTTGCAAAGTTCAAATGATGATTTTTGTGGTGAGGACGTAGAAGAGGTTTTCTTCTGATGACTCTTCCATGAAGACCATATTTGTACAAGTATCTCTTTATAGTAGTGTGTACCACAACTCCAGTGTCTGCCAGATCTTTCTGGAGGGATCGTTCAGTCAACCGTGGGTTTTGAATTGTTTTTCTCACAATCCTGCGAGCTGTTCTGTCTGATATTTTTCTTGGTCTTCCAGATCTTGCTTTAACTTCCACTGTTCCTGATGACTGCCATTTCTTAATTACATTCCAAACAGAGGATATTGACATATGAAAACGCTTTCCTATCTTCTTATAGCCTTCTCCAGCTTTGTGAGAGTCAACTATTTTCAGTTTCAGTTTTCTAGACAACTGCTTAGAAGAACCCATGGTGCTGATTGTTGGGGCAAGGTCAGATGAGTCTGGGCATTTAAAACCTTTGAGATTGACATCACCTGGTCTTCCCAGATGATGATTGAGAACAATCCATGACACTGGCAGGTCTCAGCTTGGCAAGGGGGGGGGCAGTGCATGCTATAAATTCTGCAGGGTGCCCAAACTTTTGCAGACGCCATTTTTTTGTTTTCTGTTATTTTGAAAGTGTAAATGATGGAAATAAAATCTAACTTTTGTTGACATATTATAAGAATGTCTAATCTGTAATTTGATGCCTTTTGGAGATTTTTCCATCTTTCCTTGGCTGCTTTATGCACATTAATACAAATTTTTAGCTGGGGTGCCCAAACTTTTGATCCTCACTGTATATACCATCTATCCCAATCCAGTACTGTTTGCACTACAAGTCTTTTTCTCTCCCCACCCCTCCCCTTGTTGTACTCTCATTACTACCATATATAATTATATACCTCATTTTCCGTTTTTTTTGTTCGTTCTAAAACTGGACTATTTTTATGATGCTTAAGATTTTCTGAGTGAACTTTATATCCACCACAATTTCTCTAGCGCCAATTACATTTTCAATTTGAACTCTATAACTTTCCTACAGACTAAATAATAAATACTAATTTGGGTTATTTTCACCAAAGAAATATAGCAGAATACATCTTGGCCTAAATTTTTTGAAGCACAATTATTTATTTGCAAACTTTTATAACAGAAAAAAAGAAAAATGTGGGGTTTTTTTCATCATTTTCGGTCAGAATAAACCGAAACAAAGAAAACTTTTTTTTTTTTAATTTTCTGCATTTTTTTGTTAATTTAGCAAAAAATAAAAACCCCAGTGTTGATTAAATACCACCAAAAGAAAGCTCTAGTTGTGTGAAGAAAATTATAAAATTTTAGTTTGGGTACAGTGTTGCATGACCGTGCAATTGTCATTCAAAGTGTGAGAGCGCTGAATCCTGAAAATTGGCCTCGGCGGGAAGAGGGTAAAAGTGCCCAGTATTGAAATGGTTAAATACATGTGCCTCTACTATGGGAGCTCTTAAAATTGGAGAGTTAGGAACTACAGAATACTGGGGTGTCATGACAAGGCTCTGTAGTTTACGCATGTATTTGCAAATGTGTGCTAACTAAACCCCTGTTTTTAACGCATACTGTTAGACAGGTTATTTCTGTTTGTTTGCAGGCTGGCTGGCAAGTTAAGCTGGGAATTTTCTTTTTTGTTGTTTGACATGCGTCACCCTCCCATGTGCTCCTTGCTGTGAAGGCCAGCTATAGACTGTGGCAGTGGCCATTTTTTGTACTATTTCTATATAAAGTTATAAAACAGATGAACTATGAACCCTGAAAGTAATCAAATCAAATCCTTAATAGAATACTCAGGGCAAGATGTTTTATTCCAAAAGAAAGAAAAATTTTGGTGAACAATAATTAGTTAACCAAAGAGTCCTAGTGTACACTGACCAAGTAATAGCTGAACAAAATGACCATAGAGAGACCCTGAAAGTTCCGCTTTATGCCAACTCCTGTATTTACCAAGTCCAAACATTCAACTCCAGTCTTAAGATTGTTAAACAGAGCAGGTTATTTGCTTTCCTCTGGTTACCTACTAAATATACACTCACCGGCAGAAGAGGAAAAGATCAAAGTATTAAACATCACATACACTGTGCATTTGCAATGGTTATTATTATTATACAGGATTTATACAGCGCCAACAGTTTGTTCAGCACTTTACAATATAAAGGGAGACAATACAGCAACAATACAGTTCAATACAAGAGGGTTAGGAGGGCCCTGCTCCTTGGAGCTTACAATCTAAGAGGGAGGGGCTGGTGGTACAAAAGGTAATAACTCTGGGGGATGATGGACTGATAGGAGAAATAGAAGATTCAGTTATTAGCTGAAGGCAGGATAGGCTTCTCTGAAGAGATAGGTTTTCAGAGATCGCCTAAAAGTGGGCAGAGTAGGCGACAGTCAGATAGATTGGGTAGAGAGTTCCAGAGGATGGAGGAGGCTCTGGAGAAGTCCTGGAGATAACCATGGGAGGAGGAGACAAGGGAGCTAGAGAGCAGGAGGTCGTGGGAGGAGCAGAGAGGGCAATTTGGTTATATTAGCACCTATAAAAGGATTAACAACTATTAGGCTGCTTCACAGGTGCATGGGTGCAGCACAGTGCATCCAAGGCTTTCCTGCAGGTTAGGTGCACTGAGCCATAGACTTCTACTATATCTTGCAGGTTCGGTGCACTTTGTGAAAGTGCACCAAAAATCCAGAATGCAGAAGTTTTTCAGAGAGTGCACTACACCAAGTTATACTAGAAGTCTATGGAAAATCGCAGCTAATCCGCAGGAAATCCACAGGTGCACTGTGCTGCACCCATAGGGTGGGTAAACCACAGCACATCAGTGTGAAAGCAGCATTATAGGGGGCTCAGGGCAGTAGGGGGTCATTTACATATGAAGTTTGGGGGGATGGTAAAACTCCATAGTTTAAAACTTGTTTTTACAACACCAGCTTAGCCGCTGGCAACCCTGCCCCATACTCCAGGGGTCTTGTGTGGCCTCCCTATCACATTCTGTTTTACACTTAGATAGTGGAGGTGGCATATACAGGAACTGATCCTGACCCTCCCACCAGCATTCAGAGACTGCAGGAAGAAAATCTTCATTATGCTATTCAAAATAAAAAATGTGACATTCTGAACCATTTCATTTCATTGTGGCCCACAACCATTTACCAAATCACTTAAAGTGTTACTAAACCCACAGCAGTAAAATCAGTCTGTATATGCAGTAACGCATGCTTGTTTTACTCACTGTGGAACCTAAGAGGTTAATTCTTCGCATTGTTTAAAAAGGATGTTTCTCTGACCCTCCCCTTCTTCCAATGTCCTCAATCCATCTGCTGATAATACAGAGCCACAGGAAGCACTTTGCACATGCTCAGTTTGATGTGTATTGCTAGAGAGTTTTTTTTTTGAGGGGGTGCATGTGATCGGCACAGGGCCAGTCAGTACTGTCCAAACAGAGGATCAGGGGTTGTGCTCATAGGACAGTCAGTGGAGAATGAAAACTACTCCTACAAGCTTAAGGGCTCATGTACACTGCAGCTGATAAACTGACGTTCAGGAGCTTTTCTGCATTTTTTTCAGCAGCCCCTGAATTCTCCCTAATGTTTTCCTATGTGTCCATGTACACATCGTCGTTTACAGTCGTTTACAGGCAGTTGAGTTTACAGTCGTTTTTTTTTTAATGCACCAAACTTTTAGGAGATTTTACCGTTGTTTCAAATGCCAAACGCATGTAAACGCAGCTAACCGCATTTATAAGCGTTTGCGTTTAGATGTGTTTTTTAACTGTTCCATATCCAGATGCTGTCCAGAGCCTTTTTTCATCATCAGAAATGCATGCAAAGCGTTTTCCATGTATTCAAATGGACCCGGTACACCAGCGCAGTCAGTTCCAGGTTTTGCGTAAAGGAAAAAAATGGTAGAACGTGCTGCATTATGCTCATGATGGGATCCATAGTGAATACAACCAGAAAAGACAGGCAATCTCAGCACGTACTGCTCTCCCTGCGTCTGCTCTCTCTATTTCTCTCAAAATGTCTGAATTTTTACTGTTTTTCAGTGCATTCTGGGCATTTGGGAAGGTCTCCTGATGTTATCTTTAAAAGACGCTTCTAACCGCAAACGCACATAAATGCACATAAAGGTAGTATGCAAACACGGCTAAACAGACTTTTTTTAACTTATGTTTTCCAGCAGTTGGTTTCCATCATTCGGAAGAGTTTTCCAAACATCTTGTGTACATGAAGCCTTAATCAGTGGTCAACCAAAGACTGATAGAAGTCACAAGACTGCTCTAATTGCTGATGAGAAAAGGTATTTAGCAGTTAATATTTACTAAAATAA